TGTGGTCTCAGCAAGTAAAGTGTGGTGTCAGCAAAAGGGAATGTCTGTTGTGAAGTGGCCTAAAGGTCAGCTCCCAGGGGAGGGGTGTCCATTCAATGATCTGATCAGAGCGAACACCCCAGCCTGTCTGTTTTATGAAACAGGGACGAAGAGCATATCTTCCGTATTTACTTCCTGCTGAGGGGGACAGCGAGGTCCCAGGGGAATGGACTTGGACAGTCGGCTGGACGAGGGTCGCAGCAGCATGATCTCCCCGAGAGACTGACGGGTGGTGATGGCTGGAGAGCGTCCTGTTGAGGGACTGGGAGGTGAAGGCTGGTCCTGAGGCTGCCACAGTGTCACTCAGCTTCTCTGAGCCCGGAGCTGAAATACAACTGAGGCCTAGACGTGATCTTTAGGGAGGAAAAGGTCAGGGGTCTAAGGTGCCTGGCTAGTGAAATGAAAGGGAGAATAGACTATCCTGGGGATGAGGATCTTTTTCCCAGCTTTGCCCCTTGCTGGCATCCACATGTGTCCTGTAGGTCTTGAGACAGGGTTTCAAAATAGGTAGAGCAGTGGTTAAGCTCCCGATGGCAGTTCCAGCCCCTGCTGTGATGCCCAGGGTTATGAGGAGAGGGATTATCTGGACTGCCCTTTTGTGTCGGCTGTGATGGGTTATGGGGACAGGTTACATCTACACTGGGTGAGAGATAGACAAGGGTACCGGTTCCTGTCCAGCTGGTGGGAGGCAAATGTCTGTGTTCTCCCCACAGAGGAAGAAGAATCCCTGATCACAGAGTCAAGCTGAGGGGTAGGGAGAAGAGGTGACTAAAGGATGTGAGGGTCCCTTTCCTAGAGGGTCGTCGCCATGGTGCTACCGATAAGGGTGACAGATGAGTGGTTGAGATTCCATTGCAGTGAAAGGGAGGGAACGTGAGGATGGGCTGTTATCCAAGGGAAAAGAGAAAGGGAAGGAAGGGAGCAGTTGAAGCCTGGGGCCTGGATGGTTGGATAAGAAGTAAAAGGACTGGCTGTAGGAAATAACCATTGGCTTCCGGGGAGACCTGGTAGTCAACCCATTGGAATCAATGGCCGTTTGGTAGTTCTAGGTTAACTGTGGGGTTACAAGCTGATGATGGGAGTTGGTCCATTGATACCAGTATATTGCCCTGTGACCTTGTAAAGCATAAAGGGGCTTGGGCAATTGGTGGGGTGTGCAGGGTGTTAGGACCTGTGACGGGAGGGAGGAAGGAGCTGCCTTAGTAGGAGATGGAATATAAGAACAGAAAAGAAGGGAGGCTTGATGCCGGGGCTGCAGGATAATTACCTAGAGCAGGGGTCCTCAAACTTTTTAAACAGGGGGCCAGTTCACTGTCCCTCAGACCGCTGGAGGGCCGGACTGTAGTTTAAAAGAGAACTATGAACAAATTCCTATGCACACTGCACATATATTATTTTGAAATAAAAAACCAAAAACGGGAACAAATACAATATTTGTGTTTGCATGTGGCCCGCGGGCCGTAGTTTGAGGACCCCTGACCTAGAGGGTGTCTGCCTTTTTGAGAAACATAGTTCCCTTTTTATCAGCTAGAGTGATGTCTGCCTGATTCCACGTCTCGATTGGGATAGGGTTGGTGGTGGACGCTGGAGAGGAGGGGAAGGCAGGGCCAGCGGCCCTGGCTCAGGAGGGAATGGGCGAGGATAAGTGTTGGTCGGAGACAGTGGAGGTGGGAAGGTTCCCTATGGGTGGTGGAGAGGAGGGCGGGGATAGGGTGAGAAGGAGAGCTAAGCCCCACTCCAGGGCAGAGATGGTCCCCAGGGGGAAAGGGTATATTTAGGATCTAGAAAGGAGGAAATCTGCCCCATGGGTAATCCAAGTCCCTTTGTAGAAGGCAGTCCCATGGGAAGGTGAGAGCCCTGCTGTGAAGGGAGGGGCAGTAGCTAGGATTTTCCTGGGAGAGGAGGTGGGCTTTCAGGGAAGTCAGAGGTACTGGGGGCACGTGCAGGGGTGCTCACGCATTCGTCCTCTTCTGGGATGCGGGGTCCGGTGGGCCCGACCTGGTGGCTGTAATCTAGGGGACTCCAGCTCCGGTGATGGAGGTGCTCCTGAGGTGGGTTTGGTCTGGGAAGGTGGGACCATGGGGGTGCCCTGAGGGTTCAGCTGCAGGGGGCGGTTAAGAGCACCCGGTAAGGGCCTGCCTCCAGCGCTTGAATTATGATGGGTTTCCTTTAGGAGGAGTAGGGGGATGTCTCCTGTGAAAGGTCGAGGGAGGACCTGATCAGCATGTTCTCCAGTAATTGTCAGATGAGATTTAAAACGCAGACATAGTCTCTGTGGAAGGGAAGTTTCCGAATAAGAAGGGTCTTCCATACAGGAGTTCAAAGGGACTAAGAAAGGAGGGTGCGGGGGAGGGGGGCGGTGTTGCCCTGATGCGCATAAGGGCTAGAGGTAGGAGAGTAGTTTGAGATGCTTTAGTTTCGAGAGTTAATTTAGTGAGGTGGGACTTACTTAAGAATTTGCCTTTTCTACCCGCCTGAAATCGGGGCTGGTGGGGGGTGTAAGTTCCACTGGAGTTCAGAGTGGAGGAGACCTGTGGAGTCATTTGAGATCGGAAAGCAGGTCCATTTTCTGATTGTAATGAGGTGGGTCAGACGCAGTGGGGAATGGCCTCTACCCACCCTGAGACAGTATCTATGAGGGTTCAAAGATATTTGTTCTTTTAATAGGAGGCATGTGAGTGCGGTCAGTCTGCCAGTCCTGTCCAGGGACTTGGCCCCTCGCCTGATGAGCGGGGAAAGGAGGTCTAACCTACCCTGACCCGAGGGAGATGCTGAGTAACAAGTGGAACAGGTTTTGGTATATCTTGCAGTAGGGAGGCCTGGCTAGGATGTGCTGGGGGTTAGGAGTTGTAGAAGCGGTCTGTATCCTATATGTAGGGAATTGTGAATAGGCCGTAAGATACCGCGGGCCTGTCCCTGGGGAAGGATATATTTCCCCGGAAATTTTGACCATGGATCTTCCTGAGTGGCCCCCAGAGCTGCTAGGGACTGAGCTCCTCTGGAGTGTGTTAGGGCGTTATATGGGGTGTAGCTAAGAGTTGGGGAGACGGGGGCTTCCCCGAGCCACTGTCTTGGCCTCCTGGTCTGCTCTGTTATTTCCCTGTATTACAGGATCATTCCTTACTTGGTGTCCTTTGCAGTGTATGACTTTTAAGAAGGCTAGAAAAGGGGAGAGAATTTCCTAGATACCAAGCAGGAAGACCTGTGAGGCTTTCAATGATAGTGTCCAGGACGGAATGAGCGGTGCAAATAAAGAAAGTCTAGGCTCAGGTATAAATAAGGACCTAAGCAACAGGAGAGCCTGCGTGGGGCTACTTTAGCTCACAAGGAGAGAAGGGGTCCCTTCGGAAGTCAGGGGTGACCAGGTTGTGTTGTCCTGACTCACTGGACAGCACAAACCTTCTACCCAGGCACCAGATCACCAGCTGTAGTCAGAGAGTACACAGCTGGCGTTTACATTCATGAACACACTTCCCCACAGCAGCATTGTTTTTAATAGGGAAGCACTGAGATAACTCCAGTGTCCCTCAACATGCGAGTATAAAATAGATGGTGGTATGTAATGCAATAGGGTAAAACAGAGACATGTAAAATGTACTGGTAACAGCTTTTGCAACAACCTGAATCAATCTCACTAGTTTCATAATAATAAAATAGAGAAGAGCTACACAATAACGTGCATAAGTGTCTTCAAAACTAATGCCTGCCATTATTTTTAAATGGTTCAGCAAATAAAAGATATATCCATATCCACCTATTCAGATACAAACAAAACATGGCAACTGTTAATAAATATGGATCTAGGTAGGAGTATACAAAGGTTCATTGTATTATTTTGCTACTTTTCTTTAGGTTTGAGATTTTCCATAATAAGCCCGGCCGGCGTGGCTCAGTGGTTGAGCGTCAACCTGTGAACCAGGAGGTCATAGTTCGATTCCCGGTCAGGGCACATGCCAGCCTGTGCTGGATCCCCAGTGTGGGGCATGCGGGAGGCAGCCAATCATTGGTTCTCTCTCATCATTGATGTTTCTGTCTCTTTCACTTCCTCTCTGAAATCAATAAAAGTTATTTAAAAAAATAATAAAAAAATAAAAAGAAAAAAGTTCAAATATCAGATAAAGCTAATTTATATTGTTTAGGAGTAGTTCTTCATCTGGGATGTATGAGTTTTCTTTATAAGTATTTACTAAACTATACATATATTTTATGCATTTTTGTATGTATATTTTATAAAACAAAAAAGGTTAAAAATGTGATGATATATTTTTAAAAACTGCTACATACTTGTTAGACATTATTATTAAAAAAAATTAACTTTTTGCTTTATAAAGCAACCAAACATTAAGTTAAGGGGGCTTTTGTTTATGGGTCATTTACTTGAGATAAATTTATCAAAAGGTACATACCCGAGGACCAATTTTTGAGTCTAGCAGTAATGTCATATGATTTTTCCCATGAGGTAGTTCTTATAAAACCATCAGTTCTGAATCTTGTTTACTTTGATATTCTAAAATGCTCATTTGGCAGATCTTCTAGCATATGCTACTTGGAAATTTATTGTAAGAAAACTGCATAAGTTTTATAATTGTTCAAATACCATACACAATTTATATTGTTCATGTATAAATGTTATTGTTATTCTAAATTCTTATTAGGATTTCACAGTATTTTTCTGTATAACCCTCAAAGTCTAAAGTTGTTCAGAATTTTATGTTTTCACACTGACTTTTAATATGTTAATCTATGTGATTGTCATCTAAATCAATATCAAAATCTAAATCATCACTTTCTTCTTTATTTCTACTGCAGCTTCTTCTATAATTGGAATGCGGATTATTTTAAATGTTTTCTGTCTTTTCTGGTTCTTTATTAAACGGAGTAACAATGTCTTCTTTCCACATTTTGCACAAACTTCAAGTTCACAGGCACATGGTCTCTACAAATTATGTGAAAAGAACCTTTCACTGTCGTTTGTAAACATTTAACACAGTTTTAGGCTTTGACAATGGTTTGTATTTGCTGTATTTTACACGCCATTTAAGAACTTCTTTGCAGCGCTGACATACTCCATCAAGAAGTTTTGTATTAATTTTCTTGGTCTGAACACTCTTATCAAACTTGTCATTTTTGAAGCTAAACGTATTTTGATGTCTCTGAGGCCTGGAACAGGCCATGTTCCCTCTCTGGGAGCTCATCGCCGAAATCACAATCACCAAACTCTGGGACAAGGAAGATTCCTATGAACGCACTTTAAACACACTCTTACTTTCAAGAAAATATACATTCAACAAAGTACAAGAAACCTCTGTAATAAAATCTAAGAGCAGCCCTAGCCAGTGTGGCTCAGTGGATGGAGCCTTGGCCTGCAGACTGAAGGGTCCGGGTTCGATTCTGGTCAGGGGCACATGCTTGGGTTGCGGGCTCGACCCCCAGTTGGGGGGGCATGCAGGAGGCAGCCAGTCAATGATTCTCTCATCATTGATGTTTCTCTCTCTCTCTCCCTCTCCCTTCCTCTCTGAAATCAATAAAAATATATTTTAAAAAAACAAAAAAAAACTAAGAGCAGGCAAGTTAAAACGTGTCTAGCAATCAATGTTTCAGTATTGTATGCTATTTTAAAATATTTAGATGTTTATTATTTAACTCAGCAACACTCCAAAGTTTTTAAGTTAATACAAACGTTGGAAAATTATGTATAGGCACATGAGGCTGGAGAAAGGTGGTGGGGGGGGGGGAGAGCAGCTCTCTAGCGGCTTGGATTTAAAACTGCCACGTTTTTCCTTAGAGATAACATGCTAAGGTTGGGGAGATAATGAGCTCAGCTTCTGATAGTAGCCGGACTGTTAAGTAAACGTGTGCAGTAAAGAAAGTTGTTCTTTGGGAAAGATGGGGTGGGAGGGTGAGAAGGCGCTGAGTTTTCAGAGCATTAAAGGGGTGAGAATGTTGGCCTTGGGACCTAAAGGCTCAGTGAGGGGCCCCTTTGCCATAGAGGAGCTTTGCAAGAAGACTACAGTTGTGAACCCAGAGGCGAGAGTACCCAGTGAGCCTGAGGAAGGAGAAAATTTCTTGTTCAGAGGAGGGGACAGTCATGGAGGAGATAAGGAGATAAGGCGTTTACAGTTCCAGAATGGCTGGGCCATGTGGGGTGAGACAGTGAAACTGAGGTTGGTGACCGAGGTTTGGGACAACTGGGCTTTATGAGGGGATGCACAGTAGCCCTGGCCGGGCACCGAGGTAGAATAAGAAAAGAGGATAAAGGGGGTGTCTAGTAAGATGCAGTGTAGAGGTGAGGTGGCTCATGGCTGTGAGACTAATCTGTCAACCCCCATAATAGAGACTGAGGAGGGAACAAGGGTCCCAGTGAATTCGGGGACGGCAGAATGAGTGGCCCCAGTGTCACTTAAAAAGGAGATCGGCTTATCTGCCACCACAGTCGTTCCCCGAGGCTCTGTCCTGGTGATGTAAGTCTGTGGGGCCCTGTCAGGGCCTGGGCAGCTTCTTCAGTGCCCAGTCCCAGGAGGTCTGGGAGCCTTAAACCGGATCCAGAGGGCTGCCTTGCTGGACTGGCTGAGGTCCGACCCGGAGGCCCAGACCACAGTCTGATTTCCGGTGGCCTTCCCTTCCACATTTTGGGCAGGGCCCAGGCGGGGGTCTCGGGTTTGAGCAGGACTTGGCCCTGTGTCCTTCCTTGCTGCATTTGAAGCATGGGCCCGGAGGAGGCTTAGCCCTGACTTACCCGCAGTTGGAGGACCGGCACTTCGTTTGGGGTTCATGAGAGCGATGCTAGGAGCTGGAAGGCCTCCTAATGGGCCTCAGCCTTGGCCTGATCACGCTTTTGTTTTTGGATTTGGGTCTCCTCATCTCTATTATTAAAGATCTTAAAGGCCAGGTTAATGAGGTATCTTTGAGGGGTTTGTAGACTTGTGTCTATTTTTTGAAGTTTGCGGCATATATCAGGAGCTGATCCTATATAATAAAAGCCTGATATGCAAATTGTCCCCTCTACCGGGAGTTTGACCACTCACTATGACGTGCGCTGATCACCAGGGGGCAGTGCAGAACATGGCAGGTGTCCAACACGCGGTGCTGGCAGCAGGTGGCAGTGGAGGCACTGCTGGCCCCGGCCAGCTGGGGCCTGCCCTTCCATGCCATCCCTCTGGGGGTGGGGCCTAAGTGGTCAATTTCTGCAAGGCCTCCGTGAGGCGGGAGAGGAGGAGAGCTGGGCTTTCATCAGGGCCCTGAGTGACTTCATTAAGTTTGTCATAATTGACCACAATACCCTCAGTTCCTGCCGCGTCCCTTGGGTAGAATGGGAGTGGGAATAAAAGGCTGTTGAGGGTGGTCTTTGGGTGGCCCGAGAGCGAGTGTATGGTGGGAAAAGGCTGTTTTGGAGCTTGAGTTCTTGGGAGTTGGGCTCTCAGGGGCCGGGAGGTGGCTGCTGGTTAGGAGGGTCTGGGTTTTGGGAATCTGCAGGTGAGGGAGGCGGTGTGTAAGGGGGTGGAGGTCGGTGGTCTGCTGGGTCAAACGTAGATTCAGAATCAGAAGTGTTAGGTGGTGATGTTTTGTGTGAAGGAGAAGGATCTGACGGGTAGAGCAGGACGGAGAGAGAGGGCTGGGACTGAAGGGTGAAAAGGCCTGGATGGAGGGAATCTCTGACCATTTTGCATTGCGGTGACAGCAATTATCTAAGTTGCTCAGTGTGTTAAAATTGAAAGCGCTGTTTTCAGGCCATTGAGACTTATTATCTAGTTTTTGTTGTGGCCAAACAGTGTTACAGAATACAGTGAGGTGGTTGCGCATGATCTCCCCCGTGAGTGTGCAGAGGGAGTGGGCATGGGGCACGAGAGAGGAAGGGTGAGTGACAGACCACAGATCCAAAGGGGACTGTTTAGGGCAGGCGTCCCTGCTGCTAAACAAATCACCATGAGAAACGAGAGGTGACCCTCCAGACTGGGCGTCCCCAATCCAGAAGGACCCAAGTCAAACGGCTGAGGAGGCTTCTGGCCCAGCGCTAGGACTTTTGAGATGAGAGGCTTCCGAAAAGTCAGTGAGAGAGAGTGGGCAGAGGATTCGAGATGAGGAGAATTGTGGGACGTCACTCACCTAGAGGAGACTGGCCGGTGTGGGATGGAGGGTCAGCAATGGAGAAGGAGAGATTCCCCCTCTGCTCCGCCCCCCCTTACCTCTGTTCCCGCTGTCCCCTCTGCTCCCGCTGCCCCCTCTGCTCCCTCTGTCCCCTCTGCTCGCCCTGCCCCTGTTGCACGAGAGAATAATCAGCCGGGCACTCAGAGGATTCAGAAGAGGAGCCTTTCATGCAGAACCGCAGGTGCACTAGTGCGGGGGGGGGGGGGGGGGGAGGACTCAGGGGAATTGGCCTCCAGAGCCTGAGTGATGAGTGTGGAGGAAGCCTTCCTTTCATCCCCTCAGTTTCTTTGCCCCCCACATAGGGACCAGGCTTCCGGTTTTCGCGTGGGCTTCGCAGCCCCCCGTGGGTTGGGATGGGGGAAGTGAGGTTACGCCCAATGGCCTGGCCTGGCCTGGCTGGCCACAGTGCTGACAGCCCTCTGGGGGTGTGTATGGTTCATGGTTTATGGCCTCTGTGAAATGGGAGTGTTCCGGGAGCAGGTTCTGCAAGGCAGGACAGGCAGCCAGGTAAGAATGGAGCTAATTACCAGTAAGAAGGTGCGTCAGAATGCTGATCACTGGCACAGATTCAGAATGCCAGCCTCCCTATTATCTTATGTTCCCCTTCACCCACTGCTTCCCCTGCCCCTTCTGCTCCCCCTGACCCCTCTGCCTTATCCAGAAAAGAGCCCCTCAGGCCTCCAGCCCCTCTCAACAGAGCCCTGTGTCTCTGTGTTTCCACAGACCCGTGTGAGTGCCCCTGGTAGATATATGCCTGTTGCATTAAAATGACTTGGGCAGCATCTGGGTTGTGCTAGAAAGTAGGCCTAGACCAGCACAGCACAGTAGCTGGCACTGCCTGGTTGACCTGCTGAACTTGCTCTGTCGTGAACATGGCGGTGAGCTCACAGGTTCTTCAGAGCTAAAGAAGATGAAGGAAAGTTCTGAGCACAGCACCTAGCAGTCTGTCAGCCAGGCCGGCCTCCCCTCGCCCTGTGATGCCTGTCCCGCCCCAGATGCGAGCTCTCTGGGGCTCCTTCATCACTGGACCCCAGTTCCTGGCTCCATGCTTGGCCCGTCACTGGGGCTAGCACATACATGTTCTATGCGTGTAGAAACAAGACAGATGATGGAACATGGGGTAAGTGGGAGCTGCACGGGGAGGCAGGCTCTGGACTGTCTCAGACATCAGGTTCTCTTCTTCCTCAGAGTGCGCCAAGGTCTTCCACGCCGTGGGCGCGAAGCTGGTGCTCTGCGGCCGGAACAGAGAGGCCCTGGGGCAGCTCGCCAAAGAACTCGCCGCTTCTCGGGCCTCCGAGGTGAGCCCACGGGCGCGTCTTCTGGGGAGAAGGGTCAGACTGTCCTCTGCTGAGATAGTGGCCCCTGGGCTACTGGACGTGGTCCCTGTACAGGTGGCCGCAGGCTGCCACAGCAGCTGCTCCGCAGCCGGCCAAGGCAGGGCTGCCATGGTCAGACCCACCACCGCCTGTTAGCACTGCTGCCTCCCCTTCACCCGCTGGCACCCGCTCGGCTCTTCTGTTGGGCAGGACGAGGGCAGGTTAGTGATGACTTTTACGATTTTAATTATGGAGAAATAGGTATAACACAGTATCAGTTACCCACTTATAAGTGTACCATGAAATACACTCACAATGTACGTAATTATCACCACTGTCTCTACCCAAACCTGTCTCATCATCCCTGACAAAATTTGTACCCATTAAAGTTAATCCGTTCGTACCGCCTCCCCAGCCCCTCTGTGCTGCTTTCTGTCTCTGAATCTGCCTGTTCTAGATCCCTCATGTAAGTGGAAAAAGACAGTATTTGTCCTTTTATGTCTGGCTACTTCACTAAGCATAATGTTTTTAAAGTTCATCCATATTGTAGCATGTATCAACACTTCATCCTTTGCCCTGGCCTGTGCGGTTCAGTTGGTTGGATGTCCCGTGCACCAGAAGGTTGCCGGTTTGATTCCCAGTCAGGGCACATACCTGGAGTGCGGGCTCAGGCCCCGGTAGAGGACAGGCAGCTGATCAGTTTCATTCTCACATTGATGTTTTTCTCTCTCCCT